GCACAGTTTGACCGCTCTGTGTGCCTAGTACTGAAAGGATGTCTCTTCTGCCACTGACAGAGGATAAAAAGATAAAAAACATGTGGATTTCCTCATGCCCCAAACTTCCCTACAGCACTTACTGTCCCTTTTCAAGAACCAATTTCAGGGCTGTTTGCAGAATCCTACTGCTGCTCCACTTTTGGCAAACACTCATCTTTCTCAATATATCTCATAGCCTGGGAACCTGACCTAATTAGTTAAAAAGGAAGAAAGATGAATTAAAGAATTGTTGAATGGAGTCTTTAAGTAACACTTTTCATAAGGGCATCCAGGGGTAGGTACTTCTTGGCCTTGTAATTCCTCAGCTTGGGGCCTTAGAAATCTGTAAGAGGAAGTTGATTGCATCTGTGTGAGTTACTCTGTAACTTCTGTAACTCCTGTGCTTGCAACCTGTCCCTTCTGACTTGAAGCTTTTGTGAGCTGACATCACTAAGAGTAACAGGAGCCCAGTTGCTTCATAAAAATGTCATAAAAGTATGTATCTTAATCTCTCTTTATGTGTCCATTATTTTTCAACATATGCCTCCAGTTTCTTGTTGTTTGCTCAGAATGTGAGCTCTTGCTTTTACAGGACTGTTTTATTTCTGGCGCATTTGTATCTCGATTCCAAAACTCTACCTAGAAATATTACTGTAATTCAGATCACTTGATTACAACCAGAGGCAGCAGACAACACTCAGAGCCTTATTTTTTATGGATTTAATTTGTGTGGCTGAATTCTTTCATGTGCAAGTGTCAAGTCTGACAGAATTTTTTTGTGCCCCTGAGGAGCTCATAACACTGCTCTCCTTGGAGGAATCTCTAGTATCAAGTAAGGATCAGCTTCTCTAACTGGCAGTTTTCAAAAAGATTTGTAGGAAATTAATTTACATTGAACTATTCTGTAGATTCTAGATGAGAGAGAGGAGAATGCTCCCCTCTCAAGTAAAAACCAACATATTCCTGTAGGCAAATGAACTAGCGATCCCAGTTTGTTTATACATTGCTGAACTCTGCTACCAGCAAAATGCTGGTAATAGGAAACATATTCCATAAGAGAGAGAATGTTTAAAGTAGGGCAAAATTGGGTGTTGTTTGCTCTCTTCCAGTAATCTTTCTTACTCTGTCTTAATTGCCTCTTCATTGAGGGCAAGATTTTGTTCAATAGGACATGGAGAGTGGCAATGAGGAACGCGCCCTGGTTTGAATTTACCTGATGTGCTCTTACTAATCTTTTGAGCGTTGGAAATGGGTGTTTTGCAGCGAGATTTTAACCTTTTGTTGATGGCTTCGTGAACGTAGAATGTTCAGTCTCTTGTGCCGTCAGTAACCAAGTGACAGGGGCGTGTCTGACCCTGAGGGAATGAGATCTCATGGTGAACCTGCAAGCCTGAAAACCCACACCTGATTTCCCTGTAACTCAGTGGTTTTGCTTCCCTCATTTCAAGCTTGGCAGCTGGAACCAGCAAACTGCAGTTGTGGTTGGAAATGCACATGTGGTGGGTGGGCTGCGGGCACAGCTGAGCTGGAACTGGGGCTGAGGGGGGTCGTTTGTCAGAGCTGTTCACCCAGACAGTGGATTTCACAGGGCTGAGCTGGGTTAGAGATCAGGGGAGCAGAAATCTGCAGGAAAACGTGTCAGCATTTTGATGATAACTCAAAGCCCAATCACTAGAAAAATCTTCTATTTTGAAATACTAACCCTCCCATTACAGAATCAAAGAAAATTACTGTTTTGAACTAGTGAAAAGGTCTCCTGCTTTGGAGAGCTAAAATTTGCTTGGTATCCAGAAGGGCATGACATTTTTCCCGTGTTTGATTATATTTGGTATATTAAATATGACCTCAGTGTTTAAGGTTACTCAAACTGTAATAGTTCAGAAAGATTTGGGGTGAGAATTTTTCAATTTACTTTGTTAAGCCTCTGTAATAATTGTAAATAGTCATTTTTCAAATGACAAATAGTAAGAGGTCAGATAATCCATATATATATGACTCCATATTTCGTTACCAATGAAAGTTCACAGCAGAAAAAATGTAGTTATGGTTAGGTGGCCATTTCAGAGGAATCATTGGTGTATGAGGAAAAAAAAGCTTTAATGTGAAGACAAATGTATGTAATTATGAAACATGATTGATAATTCAGAAGGCAACAAGGTATGAGGAATACCAGTTGTCAACCGTCGATGTTCCCTGTTAGAAGACAGACTTGCTCAAACGTCATGGAGGAAACGAGGGATGACTTCAGTGGTGGTTTTGTTGATGAGGGATGATTTTCGGGCAGTCTGTAAATTGGCAGACTTTTTTTAAAGTTTAAAAATGACAGAAGTGGGCTCAGGCATTGTTTACATTAAGTCCTGATTATTCTGATTACTAGAACTTGAATTTAGGAATGGAGCTTTAGAATTCCAGTCACCCTTTTTAGTAGCACTGTTTTTCCTCTGGGTGGTGAGACTTGATTGATGAGCTCTGAGTTAAACTGACAGTGCAGTTTTCTGATGCCCTCAGGATGGGAGGGAAACTCTCTGTGTTCCCTCCTGTTGTTAAAACACAGGTAATTTGTGGCAGGAGATTCCAGATGTTGCAGTTCCAGAAAGCACCTTTTTTTTTTTTTTTTTTTTTTTTTTTTTTTTTTTTTTTTTTTTTTTTTTTTATGTTGTGCCTTATGCTTTTCAATTTTCACAACATCAACTCATTTTTCATAAATGTCCTGGCTGGAACTTTAAGATGGTTTTCTGTACAATAAGTGTTCTTGTTTGTGCCATCAACTTTGTGACTACCAAAATGAGCTAATAAAATTCAACCTTTTATTTTGCAGAAAAATACTCATTTTGGTGAGCTGTTAAAAATTAATCTACGTGGAAAAATATTTAAACGTTTATTGTTTAAATATTATGTGATTTGCCTTTTCGTTTGACAGATTATTTTTAAAGGAGTAGAAGTGGTTAAATTTTTCCACTGAGAAATTCTTTTCCTTAAAATGCTGTGGTTTTGTTTGATATGCAGGAAACTGTTATTACTCTTAAAAGGAAAACCATAGGTTTGGCATATAAAATACTGAAACCTGTGCAATTTAAAAGTAATTTTATTTCTGTAGTATCAAAATACAATTCGAAACAAAATTAGTATTTTCATTTGGATGTTTTAACTGTTGATTCACAACAGAAATGATGACTTAAATATCTTGGAAACTTCTCACAGGAAAACCAAAAAACTTGGGAGTTCTTCATCACTTACATATATGAGAACCACTTTGCTTTCCCAAAGCACTCTGGTGTTAGCTGGTTAGAACTGTCTGAAATCCGCAGTGACAAGGTTTGAGGTGTATGTAGTTTGAAGACATGAACTTCAGTGACATGATGTAATCCAAGCTGGTTTGTGCAGAAACCTACTCTGGGAATTGGAGTCTGTGTGCTGGAGGAGACCTGGGAAGGCTGGGGCATGGGGGAGAAAGCCTCCTGTGCAGGAATGTGGTCCAGCTGTGCTCTACCCTCTGTCCAGCTCTAAAGGATTCAAAAGGTTTTTTTGTTTAGTATTTTCATTTGCACTGAGCTTTTTTTTTTTTTCTTGTCAGAAGTTTGGAAGGGACTGAAATACAGCCTATTTGATTTCACAGAGTTGTGTTTTAAACCAACGCTGTGCTAGTCCCTGGTGAGAGCAGAGCAATATACACAGTGCGTGGTGTTGAGTGAGGCATCTGGCTCCCACTCTGGCTGCTGTCAGGAGAGATGGCAGGATTAATCCACTGTGTTCCCATTCAATTGCTACAGTTTCAGGCTCTTCTCAGCGGATTACACTGGCCCAGGCTGTAACTCGCACAGCTGAAGCTGACACTGACTGTCATGACTATGCACCTTCCAACTTTTCACATTCCATTGGCCTGTTTTTCTGGAGGAAAATGCCTTAGCTTTACCTAGCAGTAGTTTTCCTGGAGGAAATGGGCTATGGCAGAGAAAATTGTCCTGTACTTGTGCTGACATGTACATCATAGCGGTGCAGAGGGACTGAGAAAGCGATTTGAAGTTGTCTGTGGTCTGAAATATTCAGCAGATGGGCAGTTCTGACTCAGGAAAGGGTTCCAAAGATGCAGGAAAGTGCACAGACCAGCAAGAATCCATCTCACCCTGGTTCTAATGGAAAACTGAAGAGGGGATACCAAATACAGGGTTATGTGGGATGATGGATTCTGTGTGATTTAGGTCTCTGGTAGTGCCATGCCCACAGCAGGATTTCCTTTGTTGTCTTTTCGTGTTTGCTTGAGGATTTAAGTGTAGGTGACAACATTACAGATCACCCATTTGTGACTTAGAAAGGGAAGACGCTTGTCCCACTATTGTCACTTCAAGCTCTTACAGCAAATAAATATGTCTGGCTGCACGAGCAGGTGTCAGATCCACAGTGCATGAAGGGTAGACGTAGGTTTGCTTTCTCCTGGACTAGTAATAAATCCCTAATGCGGGGCTTCAGGAAGGACAGGGAGGGCAAATGGCAGTGATGTTACATTATCTGGTTAAAGGCTGGAAGAATTGGTTGTCTTCTGATTACAGGCCACTTCAAATATAAGCAGACTCTACTCTCTATATATGGGGCAAATGTTCCACCAAAATCCGTGTACCTTCAAACTCCAGGGGTGTTTCTAAATAAATAAATTAAAGTTTGGTTTACCAACACTTCCATCAGTCACTACTTCAGCCTGTTTCCAAGTGTCCTATATCCAGGTAACCAGTGACAAATCCATGACTGCTGGCTGTCTGGTGTCTTGTAATTTGGTGGTTCTTATGCAGGGAACCAGTTTCCAGGTCCTTATGCAGGGAACCCATTTCCAGGTCTCCTGGAAAGAAGAATCCTTTCTATCCTTTCTTTCTCTCACCCAGATAACTTCTCTTGCAGTAACACAGACTGTAAGGAACAAGGAGACTTCTGGGCAATTGTAAATCAGTTTCTCCATTCACACCCCCTGTTCCCTTCCTTTCATACAGGTTGATAAAGTGTGTGGGCAGCCCAGACAACAAGAAGGGAACTTGTCCTCGGCCAACATAGTGCCAGTGAAGGAAGTGACTCAAGCCCAGACGTTGGTGATGGCTCACACCAGCCTGAACAATAAAAGAAGGTAACCCCGAGCTACAGTTGCTTTGAAACAAACTCTCTGCCTCCCAACTTGTGCTATTGGTTCCTTGCACTGTAGTATTTAAAGCAGAGCCACGGCTCTGTCACCCTGCCTGCCTGTGCTCTCCAGCCATTGCCAGCACTGATGACTTTGTGGTGTTACATTGTGGGTCTCTCCAAGAAAAGCTTTTTACAGGCCAGACTTGATCTCGTTGCTTAACACCAAGGTGTCCATTATTTCCAGAGACTTTCAGTGAAAAGGATGAAAGCTTTTCTTCACTAAAGTCTGAGGAAACCAATTTCTGCAGTTGAGTCTAAGTTATTTAAAATACAGCTGCCCAGGTCTGTAAGGACTTGAGCTTATCCAGGGGCAGAAGTGGGAGGGAGGAAGGAATGAAAAGGAAAGATTCACTGCCCTGACACCAAATCAGTCCAGTCGGTCCCTGATTTCACTGTACTGGGGAGGAGTAACAAGATCCCTTGGAATGTCCTTGGTCTGGTACCTTGCAGAGAAAGAGCTGGAACATTTGTTTGGGCTTGTTGTGTCCGGCTTGGTTTCTGTTCTTCAGCTACTACATGCCAGGTGAGACACCAGACAGCTGAACTACAGACACTGGCAAGAGTATCCCTGCTCTCACATCTCCTAAGTTTTTCTTTCACTTTACCTCATGTAGCTCCTGAATTGGTTTTCTGTAAATTGTAAGTGGAAAGGGAGGGATGACTTTGCACTCTCACTCATGATACACGAGTGGATATCAGAGCGAGTGTCATAAAATCACAGTGACCTCTTTCTGGCTAACAGATTGTCCTCTGTAACAGCAGTCCTGAGCTTTTTTTCCATTTCTGTTTTAATTCTCATCTTATCCTGCACAAATGGAACAAACGCTGCTTTAAAAGATAAAAGTAAGAGCAGCAGGGCAAGTTTTTTGAGTGATAGTGGTAATTTTATACTTCCGTAATTTAAAACCAATTTTTACCAAGCAAATCAGAGAAAGGAGCATTAAAGAAATTAAATCAATCAATTCAGCAGTAAAAATCTGAGCAACAGTTGTAGTACAATTTGTAAAGCACGAATTTTAAAAACACGGAGCCCTAGACCATCATCTGTGGAACTCATGGACTTCACTGGGACTTCCACTCTAGCCACCCAAAAGGCAGAATTGCCAACCTATCCACAGGTGACCTTTTTGTCTTTCATGGCTTGACAGCCAATTCTCTCTCACCTGAGGATCTGCTCCCTCCCCTTCCCAACCACAGAGAATTATTTGGATAGTGACCTTTTAAAATGTAAGATTGTAGATGGAAAAGAAAATAAACTAATGCACTGTAAATTAGACAGTTTTCCAAAATTGGTCTGCACACTGAAAATTAATTTATCAAAAAGATCTAAACTAAGGCCATGCTTACATAATTAGCGTGAAAAATTGCTGAAGTACAGTGTTGATAGGTATTGTGGAGAGCTTGTGCACTGAAAATGAATGGTGGAACCATGCCATAAATAGTGAGAAGTGGAAAAATTGAAAATATTCTCCACAACTTCCTATAAAACACATGGCCTGAAGCTTGTACTTTGCTTCTTGGAAACAATTGTGAAACCATAAATAGAGTGGAAGACACAGTGATTGGCTGCATCACTGTGTTGTTCATTCTCTATCATTTAATCGCATATGATATCAATAAAAAGCAATTTAATGTAATAAAATATTATAATACATGGGTGAAATCATTCCTGCAATGGGTTGTGCAGAATGCACTGAGAGTGACAGATAGCTGATACAGGGGAACCAGATTATGAGAGTAATTACGTGAATCTTTTCAGATGCTGTTGTTTCTGGTGATATTAAGAAATGAAGAGCAATAATGTCAGCTGTCTGTCAAGGTTTAGGTGCAAGGTCACACAGGGAACTGGTTCTGCTGAACCTGTCTGTTGGTCTGGATAACAGACATCCCTCCAAATGGTCCTTAATTCAAGGGGAATATGGAACATGGCTTCAGCCTTTTAAAGCAAGGAAAGAAAAGGAGAAGGAATGAGCCAGCACTCTCCAAATAGATAGAAAAGCTGTGGCTCATGCCCTAAATGTGTTGAAACGTTCCTGAACTCAAAGAGAACTCAACTGGTTGGCACATCTGTAGGAGAAACCAGTCACGAGGCCCCTCATCTCTTCTCTAGGACCTGCTCAGAGATGCCCTTAAAAACCCAGTGCCAGACAGCTCATACCTACAGATGGATGTTTGCTCCAAAGCTGTTGAGTCTTTGCCAGCTACAAAATCTCCTTTTCCAAGGAGTTTGAGAACCCTGGTTTTGGCAGCTCAGCAGAGCCAGGGCTGCTCCTGCAACTGAGAACTGAGACTGTTCAATGGCATCTCTTGGCCTGAGGTCATTCCTGGGGGAGGTGTTTGGGGTCTGGCTGCACAGGGAGGTCCTGCATAGTCCCTGAGGGCAGGGATCAACTGGATCCTCTTTTGCAGTAGTTGAACCCTTTTCTTCTCCTCTTACTCTCACGGGTTCCTGGGAGATTTCCCATCTCTCTTTATTTTACTCTGCATTCCATTCCTACATACTTTTTTTGTTATGCATCACTAAGTGTCAGGAACAATAATGAAAGAAGGTGAAACTTGGATAGATGTTGCATGGTCTTGTTGGAAACCTTTTCCTCTGATTAACCTGGAAAGCATCAAATTGATTGTAATTATTTTTTTTTTTTGTATTACACAATTGTTTTCAGGGATTAACTGAAACTGGCAGCGTTGCTGCTGCAGTCATTTTTTTAATGTGGAGGTTACTATAACATGTAATGGAGATGACAAGAAAATTGAAACCATATGATGGTACAGGGAACGAAAATGGCATGTACAGAATCTCAGTCAGTAAATTGGAATGTTATTGCTGAGTTCAGCACAAAGAACTGTTCTGGTCAGGGTGCAGTCTCCTAGCAAAGTTGAGTACCTGCCTTTTAGCATCTCTGCTCCACGAGGCATTTCAAACCACTAAACACAGACTGGTTACAGAGCTGAATATAGTATATAATAGGCTGGGTTTACCAAAGAACTGTCATTCATTAGGTCCCTAGTTGGAGGAAGCAAACTTTGTGTTTTGCTGCAATTTCTTTGTTTTGCTATGAACTTAACAGATCTTTTATACATCTTAAACAATTTAGGAGTTTCTTTGGGAGTATTTGAAGTCAATAGTATCTATCTTATTTAAAATTAAGTATCTATTGGGTCAAGCATCGCATGATTTTATTAAAATTTGCGTAATAAAGTGCTAGTACAAACCAGATTATTGATGTCAGATGCACATTAATGTGTGGCCAAGGCAGGGCTTTCAGCTGGCCCAGATTTTCCCCGTTACCAATTTCACGAGTGACTGTGTTGGAATCGCTGCCTCAGTGATGGCAGGTGCCACTCACCTGGTCACCAGGGCAGGTCCCTCCTCTCCTGTGGCCACCCCTGCCAGGAGCTCCCAGGAAGTGATGGCAAAGCTGCATCCTCTGGGTGTCCTGAGGCTGCTGACAGTGGTCGCTCAGTTTGCAGGCACTCGTTGCTCCAGCCCTTGCCCTTGTGTTACACAGGAGGGTACAGGGCTGAGAGCAGACTGGGGGATCAAACCATGGACGTGGAAAATTGCATCATGATGGTAACGCTGGATGCAATGCCTGATGTTAATTAAGGGACCTCAGGATATTGGTGCCACAAAATGCTTTTGCACTAAATAATTCCCTGGCTTGTTTCCACAGTTCTTCCTCCAGTATAACCCTAAAGCCTGTATCTTCTGTTCTGCAAAGCTGGGTGTTTGTAAATGGTGAATCTGACCAGAAGAGAACAGAAAAAAATATCTGTATTTATGCTATTTATTAACAGCCTGTAAATTGCTTGTTGTATCAGAATGTGAATGCTGCTCATTTGTGTCCCTCTTCCTCTGGTTTTCTTTCTAAACTGCCATTGTTTTCTCATACAACTCCATGTATTTGCAATTCTTGCATTTGGTATCAGTTAGAGTTAATTTAAGTACTACTGAATTTATTTTCAGCTTTCTGCTATGTGCTCTGCATTTGTAATTGTGCTTGTATTTGAAAATTGTTGGGACAGAAAATCTTGGTTGCACTTTCCTCCCCTTTTCCCTCCCCCCAGTTTTGCATTGACATTTTTGATGGTATCTATATTTTGGAAAAATCTCATGATAGTTTTTCTCCGTATTTATTTTCTTTTATTATCCTATGCATGTGCTTGATGACTTTTCTTTCAAATAATTTTTACTTTTCTCTTTTGTTTCTCATTTCTTTTCCCCATTTGCCTGCATTCCTGCTTCTCCCCTACTCCCCAACTCTCCTGGTTGATGCTTATTCTCCCCGGCCTATTCCAGTTCTCTGCCTCTGAAAGCTTCAAAGAATGACAAATCAAGAAGTTTGAAAAAAATCTCTCGGTAAGAATGGAAACAAGGTGACATCCTTTGTTGTCTCTCCAGTTAGCTCATCTCCAGCTGTAATCTAGAAATTCGCACACTTTTGATTGCTGCTTCTGTACTGTGGGGTGCTGGGAAACTGTACATTTTCCGCCCTACTGAGTTTAGCTTTACACTGATGAAAAGTAAATATTTTCACTCAGAAAGACTGAGAGTGGGACACAGAATTCTTTATTTGCTGAGATGCTACTTTGAAATGTCAAAGCCTCACTCTGCTGAGAATGAAAAGGAGTTTAAACCTCTTGGGGTGAGCTGAGTAAGACAAGCTTTAGACTGTTAGAAGGTGCTGCTTTTCTCCTCCAAAGAAAACTCCAGTTTAGCACCTGTGCAATCTGTAGCATCTCTGTTGCTTTTCAGAACTGATACACTCAGGCTGTTCTGTCAGGTAAGCAGCCTTCTGGCTGGGCCTGGCTTTCTGCATAAATACTCAGAGCTTGTATTTGGGAGTTGGTAGTCAAGGGGTAGAAATGCTGATTCCCTCATCATAAGCCCAAAAATTCCTGGTTTTTTTCTTTGCTTAAAATAACAGCTTTCCTGCTCTATTAGGGTAAGTTATTTTCTTAGGAGCCTGTGACAGGTAATTTATCTAGACCAGGATTTCATCACACAAGATAAATGGGATGGTTGAACACTTGGGAAAGTATAAAGGTAGCTCTGGGGAGAGAAGACCACTTCCTGAACCTTGTAGGGGTAGATATTTAGCAGTGGACTTTGACATTGTCTGAAACACTTGTTGCTCCTAAAGGAGTGATAAATCCTGACTGGTTTTGTGCCAAGATTCATCCAGCCATACCCCCAGGCACCTCTTCAGTGCAGTGTCTGTCCCCTTATGGCCTGCCAGCCTGAAACACTGGAAACCAAAGAGAGTCCTTTGGCCTTGCCAGTGGGCTGCTGAGGGAGTTCTGAGGCAAGCAGATAGCTCTGTGATGATAGCTCAGTTTGTGTCCTGCACCTTGTACTCACCATCTTTAACATTTTATACCAAACAGCAGCTTCTAAAGCAGTGCAGGGGGGAAGTTTCTTATTCTGAAGTACTCTCACTTGAGATAGGTTAACACAGTGTGTTAAAACCACACATGGTGTGCCTAATTATGCATATTAACACTGGACTAAGTAAGATTGGATGATAAATAGGAATAGAATACACTAGAAATAGAAATCCATTCAGATTACTTAAATTCTAAACTCTTAACTTTGTGGAGGGTTTAGTTGACAGGGGCTTAAATGCCGAGTTTCCTGTAGTGTTGTTAACTCTGTTCCTCCTGCCTTGCAGAGAGTTCATCAATTACATGAAGCGATCCCGCACCTTTTATGCCTCGATAGCAGAACGTCTGTGCGATGGAGACCTGGTCATGAGGGACAGCTCGACCTGCTGGAACGGAGAGGATGTTGTAGAAAGGTAAAGTAACACGTTAAAGTTTGCTGCAATTACGGAAATAGGTGCTTGATATCCTTCTGATGGTTCAGCAGCGTTCTACTTTGGTGCCTAATTTTTCTCCTCTCTGGTTTTTATCAGGGTCTTTCCCATCACCCTTTGGACTCTAAACTGGAATATACACTTGTCTTTCCATGAGCGAAATTTCTTGCTGTCTTGCTTTTACTCTGTATAACATGAGGCAACATTACCCTGAGGAGAAAACAAGATATTTTAAATACAGCTATATCTACTATCATTGTCAAAGTATATATCAGTTTTTTCAGTGAGAGCTGGTTGAAACGTACCAGTGAATGAATGTTCTCCAAAAACTTCTTTTTGTCAGAAAAAGAGACGTTCCATGGGATTGTTGTTGGCTTTCATGATGTTTCTTTTTGAAGTGTGTTTTGTGGTCAGTAGCAGTTATAAAAGATGCAGTTCTAGCATTCTATGTTCTTGCTTTAAAACAATTGTCACGTTTGCAAATTGTTTTATAGGAATTTACAGAATAATTCCAGTATGGAACAGAGAGAGATGTGACAATTATGTCTGTCCCATTAAGGGGAGTTCTGACTCCCACACAGCTCTTCCTAGTCTTCTCATGTGTAAATAACTTCAGCTTAATTACATCTGAGGTGTTTGAAGATAAATGCATGTCTATCACATCCAAAGGCAACTTTTAATGTTTCACTGTATATTGTCCTGACAAATTAATTGTAGAGCATATGTTTGAAGATTTTGGCAACAGTGTAGCATTCTAAATACTGATACAATTGTAGTACTGATGGAAGTTTTTACTGTAAAAGTAATGGAGAGGAAACAGGAGGAATATCAGTATTTCTAATCAGGATTTCCACTTCAGAATCCCTTTTGCTGGTAATATGTTGCTGGATCCACAATTTTAGAACAAACAGATTTCTGGCCAAAAGACAAACAAGAGAAGCCAAGCAAACAAACATTTCCTGTATCAACTCTCAGAAGAAAAAAGTTAATAAAATGTTATATTTAATTTTTATCTTACTTTGTTTAAAAAAAATCCAAGCCACTTAAATTGCTGATATACATGTTTTAGAAAGGCATTTAGGGGAAAGCTGATGTTATTGTCCTTTGCCAGTGTGTAACTTTCCCAGAACTGGAAACACGTGGAAAAGATTCAGGTTTGAAAGGGACAGGAAAACTGGGAAAAGTAGCACGGAAAAGACTAACAAGATTCCTCTTATTTTGAATTAAAAATCAAAAACAAAGGAGAGAGAGATACCAACAAACAGTCTATCCCCAAAGATGATGGCAGCAAGCCTACTCCCCCTTTCCCAAACTCTAAATATGTATTTGTTGTTAACGTATTAAATGGGCTAAATGGAAAATAAAAGGTTGGATTCCTGTGTTTAATCAGAATTATCTAAAATACCATATAATAATATATACATATTATACATTTATATGCTCTCCTACAGTACTGACTGCCTTAAAAGGAGGAGACTGTGGGCAGCCTGCACTGCTGGCAGTGCTACCCAGCAGCACAGACAGGGCTCCTGCCTGCTGGCAGACTTTTCTCCTTTCATCATCTGTTTTATAGGCTGGACTTGTCACAGTGCTCCCCACATGGGACATTAACCTGTCCTGGTGATGCCTGAAGATGCATTTCTCTTTGCTCTTTCTCCTTTCCCAGGACACCAGAGCATTAAATATCAGCAGTAGTAAACAACTCTGAACTCAAAATAGAGCCTTATTATTAACTGTGTAGCAGAAAATAGATCACCCCAGTTAATTTGGTGGATCTCCTGTGAACCTGAGTTTAAGGTTGCTCAAGCTGTGGAGCTGGTAAAAGCTGCAGTTCCTGTTTCCTTGATGCTTCTTGCATTTCATAATGCTGTTTGAAAGCTGAGCATTATATATGCTGTGTGCTAATTGGCACACAAGCTCTTTAGGAAAAACAAACTTGACCTTCAGAAACAATTCGACTCACAAATGCAGCCTGAAGCCAAATGAAATGAGGATCATGCATTCAATTAGTACAGAGGGCACCTGAGGTCTGTCAGAGGGTCTGATAAACAGGATTGGCATTGGGCCTTTTTATTTTATTATAGTTCTTTGGATTGGGTTTTACTGTGTTTAAATCACTGCACAAGAAGTTGGAGCTGCCAGTTAAATGCACTGTAAAAAGAGTCAGGTTTCCACTGGCTTGAGAACATGCTTCTGGCCTGCTCTTCAGCTGAACAGGAAAACATGGCTTTGCTAGGAATCCTCCAGTGTCACTTCAGGACAGCATTAGAATTCCTTGCACCAGGAGTGCTGCCTTTCTCTTAACTGCTCTTTTGAGCAACTTGTTCCTGGAGCAAGACTTGATATAAGAAAGAGTCTGTGAGGATAATGAATCATCAAAAATGCTCAGAGAAGATGGGGCTGGAGCAGTAGAACTGGAAAACTATTTTGAAAAGTGAAGCAAGCTTGGAGACATTTCTGTGCTGGAACCTTTTTTTCCTGGCAGTGATGATTGTCTCAATACCGTGTCAGTAGAGGAGGCTGCAGGGGAAGTTGATGGCACGAACCATTATGTGCTGCCAGGACCAGGCACCATTCATCTGAGAACTCTAGATGGTCTAAAGGGTTAAATTTTTCATTGTGATACCGTATTTTCTTTAGGACTGCTCCAACATTAGATGTTGGGAAGATGGGAAATGTGAAGACATCATTGTCTTTTTAGCAAAATAAGGATTTTGTAAAGGTGTGAATGGCAAACTTGGTATATAACAGTAAACTCTGTAGAAACTGTAAGCAGATGAACAGGATAGGGAAATTAATCTAAATGTTGAGAGCCTTTAGAAGGTGATAATGAGCATGTAGACAGGTAGATTGTGGTGTTCTGCTTGGTTTTCTGATACTTCATATCCTTCCCAAGAGACTGGTAGAACAGATGGTCGTGGTGCAGGGTGGTGTTGACGATACAGGCGTGTGGTGTCCGCAGCTCTGCTGTGCCCCGGGCCTGGAAGGACAGAGCACAACCACAAACGGACAGAGGGAGAAACGAGGGGTGTACAGGGTTCACATGGAATACCCTCATTTACTGGGGGGTAGGGGAAGAGATTATTTTACAGCAGCTGCTTTTCCAGCTGCAGTCACTTTCTCAGGAAGCTTCAAGTGTAACATTTTAGGGTTAAAAGCCTGCATTAAAAAGCGGTTTTTAAATCAGGTTACTCAGAACCGAAGAGAAGGATGTTTTGTAACACCCAGTAGGAAATCACACTTCTTTTCCTTCCTTCTCTCCTTCTGTCCTTAACTTGTTTTTCTTGGAACTTTGCATTAAGTGGAGGGATTAGGGGACACCTGTCCACAGGCTTGAACAGATCATGTCACTGTTGTTAGACTCTCAGGGCCTGTGCAAGCTGGCTTAGGAATGAAGTGCCAAATCACAGTGACTTCCTTTTCTCAAAATGTTTTCCCTTAGAGGCTCTCAGTTTTTATGAATTTAGCACTTTCATTGTCCCCTTTCTCATTTCCTTAGGCTTTAGCAAGCAGTGAAGGGCTGTAGTAGGTTTTAAAAGATGCTCACAGAGGAAAATCTATTTAACTAGGAAAACATAGCAATATAAGGAAATGAATGCCTCAGTAGGGATATAATATTTGTCCTTCTTGTTTCTAATAGGAATAAATGGAATTTAAGTTCAGTTTTAGAGAGGATTTCTTAAATCTCAGGCAGCTTTCAGTTAGGAAAAGAAAATTTGGTCCAAATGAATTGGTAATACATGGTGAAAGTGCAGCTGTTTGATTTAATTTTACCAGTACTATCAACCAGAAAAAGAACTGGTTAGTATTGGATGTTCTGTGGGTACATGACCCATATGAAGTGATTTGTCATGAAAAGGAAGCACACAAATTCAACAAGAAGCCCTGTGCAATCTGCCAGAGTTATTAAATGCCAGACAATAATGCCTGGATGCCTTTTCTCCTGCAGGTTCACGGAGGGCAGCACAGTAAGCTGATACTAATTGAAGGAATTACTATGTAGTGCCAGAAAAGATGTCATGGATATACCTCCCAGGGGGTTATGGGAATATACAGATGTACAAAGGAATGTCTTCTGTGGTGATTGGAGATTAGTGCCATAGGATCCTGTGGCTACATTACTCTTCTGCTTCTAGGTCTGCCTCTATGAGGAAAACCATGAGCTGTTTCATCTCCAGTGACATGGGAGAGTGCAGAAGACTCAGGTTACAGTGCCATTAAATAGTTAGCAGAGAGCTCCTTGGCCCTATTTGTCTGATGACAGTCTCACTCTATCTAAAACAGAGTGGGGAAAAGTGGAATTGGAAAATGTGCTCTTTCAGCCAAAGGCCATTTCCAATGTTGCACGGGACCAAGCTGTCAGGCACAAGCTTGCAGCCTAAATTTTCTGTTTTGTCAAAAGGGTCCCTGTTACACCTTGGGGCCATTTGCAAGGCTGTGTTAAAGAACCAGGATACAGAGCTGAAAAGTAAGCCATGAAATACCTTGTATGTGTCCCATAACTACCTGTGAGCTCTGCTCTGCTGGGGAGAGCTGTGAGGATCAGAAAGGATATGTCCCACAGCTGCTGTGTGTGTGGTGAGACCGGATGCCTTCGGAATTCCAGACAGAAGTTTTTAAAATAAAATTCATTGTCCATGAGGAACCTTCACAACTGAGATGCTGCAGGCAGTTGGTGCAGGTTTGAGTTCATTTTGCTGTGGGGGTGTGACTGCAGCGGGTGTGAGCAGCAAACTGTCAAGTGCAGGCCGGGTCAAAGCCACGTTCTTGAGAACAGGTATCATTTTACACACCACATTTCTCCTTCTGCTGTAAAAGGAACTTTTCCAAGTGTACATAATGGATTTGAGTGGCAAGCCCTCCCTCCTTTCCCCCTCCATTGTGCAAGGAATGCCTGCACACGTGCCCATGTGTATCTGCTGTATTGTATTAAAACTGCTTGTTGTGGCACTTCAGTGCATTTATTTAAGGATTTTCTGGTA